CCTTCCTTCGTTTAAGTTATGTCAAATTGACAATATTGTTGTCGCAAGGATACCTAAAAAAACAACCACACTGGGAAATTAAATCGAGCTCTATCACGTGTAGAAAACAGTGGGTTACTACTTGATAGGATCAAATGAAAGTTTCACTCATGGAGTTGAGGTACCTTGGAGAACATTTATAGAAAGAATGCATCAAACCAGTTGAAAGGACATTGAACACAATCAGCATGGCACCCGAAAGTGCTTCGTACTTGCGACATATTACTTAAAGTTTCATCCACACTACTCAGAAGTGGTTGATCCGCTCCGTGCCTTGATGAGCAATAGGTTGTTGCTTATGGACGGCCGGACAAGCACAAGCATTCGGAGATGAAGTGAACCTAATCAATATACGCTGTGCTATATTTGAATTTTCTTGAAACGATGGTGACAACGAATGCCAGTTATGCTCTAGGATTTGGTCTATATTAGCTCCAACCGAAAGACGTCGGAACAGCGGCGCTTGCGTCAAGGACAATGTCTGAGACGAAGCGCTGATACTCAGTTCGAACGCAAGAATCACGGCTGGCTTTTTAAATTGCAGAGTGCAGACAATATTTCCTTTCAGAAATAATTTTATAGTATGTGTACATCGCAGACCACGCAAGGGTTTGTAGGTAACTTATGCGCATCACTCGCTGGTGTGCGAGATTATTGGAGTTCAACTGTAAAGTGAAGAACCGGTGGAGCGAACAGAATCTGATTGATGGCGAATTTTGAGACATCCTTCTGGTACCAAAAATAAAGATTCGAGCGACGCTAAAGGTATCAAAACAGTCTGAGCACAGCTGCAAAGCGTCACCTCGAATGAGTTTGAGACGGATAATTATCAAGGTGAAACACTAGCAAATACTGCAGATCATCAGTTGTTGAAAACATTCTGAGTGGCGTGCGAGAACTACATGCAATATTTCTTCAAACTCCATGAAATACTTTCAGTGGTTGAGGGTCTCGTTTAACGTAATTATGAGTTTTTGACACAAAGAAGAATTTGAAATAATAAATCGACCTCCACCTGGAATGGAGCGCTGCTCGCGCCCTCTAGGCGATTGTCGGCAGCTAAATAAATCGCCTTGTGTTAGATTCGATCCCGGGACCTCTTAAAGCTGAGTGGTGCGTTATACGAGCTCAACTATCCAGGGCTAGCCATCAATAGAACAAGCAGGTGTTAACAGTTGCTACCAGCATCGTTACGAGCATTGATGTCACCCTTGTGACATCAGCAGTTTTGATGATTATAGTTATAAATATTTTGGCGAAGCCCATGGGTGAAGAGCTACGGAAGAATAAATTGACACCTGTTTGCTCTACTGTTTGCTCCTTGTGAGCATAGTTAATAGAACTCTCAGCTAGCCCTGGAGATGTCTCGGTATTGATTCCCGATCCAAGCGGATTGTTTCGGCGGCAACAGCTTCCTACAGGCCGCGAATTGCGCTCTATTCGAGGTGTAAGTTGATTTATTTTGGCGCAATTTTCTACCTTAAAAACTTCTCCAATTTTATTATACGGAATGATATGTTTTATTAATTTTTTAAGTCGTCTTTATTGTTACGTGAATGCCGTCTTTATCACATGTTTCTTGAGCCCGGGGTACATTCGAGGAACGAACAACAGTCAGTGTGGTGAGTAAGTACCTAAAATTCGTTAGTTAACTTTTCAATCAGTGAAAAAAGACACATGGTTGCAAATATGAAACTTGCTGAGGGTCGCTTAAAACCACTAAATCTGTAATTTTCAGAAAGACTTTGAGCGCGTGAGGAGCAAAGTAGTGTGCTAAATCGACCACTTGTGCAGCAGGTACAAGGCTGGGGCTATGGTGAGTGACGAAACAAATTGTGAGGGTGTCTTATCGCGCCGGTAGCTCTGTTCCTGCTGCACGGGTGATAGCTCTAGCGCACTACCGTGTTTCTTTCCCGCTCAAAGTCTTTCTGAAAATAACTGATTTAGTGGTTTTAAATGACGCTCAGCAAGTTTCCGACCGGAATTATCTGTCTATTTGCACTATTTAATGTCTATTCTCACTAACTAAAACGGTAATGAATTACTTTTAATTTATTACTCACCTGACTGTGACGGTTGTTTGCCCCTCGAGTGTCCGCCGAGCTCAAGAAATATAGAGTGAAGACGGCATTCACGTTGCAGTAAAGACGCCTTTTTTAAAAATCTGTTTTAAATAAAAAGGGTCACCCGGTGTAGAGTAAGAACACTTGTCGTCGGATCATTGACATCGACCGCGGATTTCATCCTGAAATTGCACAAAGCAAATGGACACTTTGAGACAACTACTCGTAGCAACGAGTGAACGCTGGTGTCTTTGAACAAAAGATGGCCTGCCATCAGTGTTGCACAATATCGTGATACAAATGTATCGCGATAGTATTTCGGGAATGCTCTACGCATTTATAATTTGTTTATCGCGTCCCAAATTTTGCAGTGTATTTTCTATTTCTGTATCGAAACACATTTTTGGGTGTGTTCCTGGTATAGCAATACCATTAGGGCACGATGTAGTTTGTTACAAATATCATGGAGTCGTTGACATCTATACAGAAGGTGAAGACCAAGTTTCATCTGGCACGTTTGTATCATAATATACATGGCCCCTTACTCCACATCGTAAAATATTAAACATGTTTTGTTGGACTTAGGTTGCCGATTATTCCTGTACATTCACTACTTGAAGGCGCTGTCGGTGCGTCTAAATGACAAATGAAAGACTACGGTTTCATAAAACTATGGTGCCTGGATCACGTCTTTGACTGGTGTGTTTACCGCGGCCAAAAAAGTGGTCCCTCGATTTCCGCCTGATGACGTCATAGAAGTGTCATGCTGTCGCCGGTCGCGACCCTGGTGGCGTCTCAACAGTTATGGTGTGTGTAGCAGATGCCTGTTCTGCTGCAGGTCGCTTTCCACTGTGACAGTTCACGGAAGCTAGTGCAACCGGAAGTTGGGACGCCTAACGGGACGCCGTGACGACAGCGACACTTGCGTTCGCTCGTGCTTTTTGCCAACATTTCTACGGCCAACCGCCAGGATCGCGACAGGCAACAGCATGACACTCGCGTCATTTGTTGCCACATCGGGACCACTTTTGATGTATGGGCGGGATAGGACGCTAAACACACCAGTCGAAGACGCGATCCAGGCACCATAATAAAACTTCATTTTCTCGGTTATGTAGAAAGATCAATTCTGAAAGTGGCGCCTGGTTGGTGAAAATCATGGTGACTTCTCAAGGTAACCTGGAAGGACACAAAACTGATTTCGATTTCATGGAAGTTTGCCTCGAATGGTTGATAGATCGCGAAAACAAATTTGCGCTCGAGCCATAGTTAAAAAACAATAACAACTCGCTTCCCTTACTACGGCACAAAATGCGAGGTGTTAATTATGTGGTAAATTTAATTTGAATAAAAATATGACAAAGTAAACAATTAGACTATCTTACAGCGATTGCTTGTTTGTTAGCTTAAAATGGTTTTCGTAATGGAGATTACGCATATAGAGAATTGTGAATCATAGTTTTTTTTTCTCCTTCGTGTACATTACTGGACACACCCAAATAGTTCTAGGCAGTGCAAGATCATTTAAAATAGTTTTTTTCTGTTTTAGAAATATGTAATTAAGTTCCAAAAGTTTGTCCCTTGAAGAGTTTTCTTGTGTTTTTCTTTTTTTTCGAATGTATTTTTGATACTTCTTCTGGTACATTTTTGATATTGTATTTCAATATCACTATTTTATGTTAGCCTTAATTGCTATGTACGCTAGTATTTGTGCTTCCAAACACCTTTAATAGTATTTCTGCCCAACCCTGTCCCCTAGTAAAATGACAAAAAAAAAAAAAATAAAACAGCCCCTGTTCGAATGCAACCAGTTACTTAGCCAACAGTACCACGAAAACAAATTTCAAGCTTGTTTGTCCGTTCATTTAGAAGTTTTCCTAGAAGCTGATGATATGGCTGTCGGCAGTAGTTGATCATTTGAGCAGGTGAACGGGGTTGTATTCTAATTACATCCAAAGGCATATGCTCTAATAAGCTTCTTACTGCGAATCTTCCTTAGCCAAGGCTGTCTCGATGTACTACTGTGAGACCACGTTTACAAATCGTGCCTCGACTGTTCAAGGACTTTCTAAAAGATGGAACTGTCATGCACTCAAAATCCTGTATTTACAATTCGAGTGAAAATGAACAGGTTAAACGCTTTAACGAGGTAATCAGAACCAACTTTAAAACTCCCCGATGGAATTAATTTTGTTGAGTTCTTTGAATTTTATTGTTGTGCACCACAAAAAAACAACAAGGCTTTCGCAGTAGTACTGTATTACGTCGTGCGCGACCGGTGCGCACGACACATGTCATTGTAGAACTACCGCATCCAAACAATTCAAAAAATTTTAGGGCTGCGATGAATAATCATCATGGCCGGATAAAAAGACAGCTTAACAATCTACCCCAATATACGTCAAATGATCAAGAATTCAAAGTTCAGACTAGAGGTCCCGTGATGTCAGGTCACGCGATATCAATCTCCCCGCCTACTCTGGCGGGGAAGCATATATATAGATCACGTGACATCAGGCCACGTGACCGAAACACGAATTCAGTTTTTTCCGAATGATGTAAAACACTTTAGCGAACTTAATCTGAACGCCAGTAGGGTCACGATAACAAGTCTGAGCAAATGATATGCAATCTGCAGCTTGTCCAGTCATCGGTGCGCTACCAGGCAAGCCGCGAGAACTCCAGGGGGAAAAAAATAATATTTAAAAGTGCGCCGTGTTATGCGGTGTTAGGTACGTTTTCATTATTCAATAAAGTGACGTCATGACGTAGTGATTTCAAATGATTTGGTAGTTTAGAAGGCGCATTGACTTTCTAAGTTTGTACAAATAAACCCCAGGGCTACGGCGAAAAGGACCGAGTATTCCAACAGATGTGCTTTGCGTGTCGTGCACGCAGCTCTTCCAGCAGCTGGACGCCAAAGACCTGGGCTGCGGAGCGGGAGGTGGCACCGACTCCGTCCAAGCCCTGCACGACGCCGGGGTGCTGCTGCTGGCCAACACGAACGACGACCGCCCCAAGCGAAACGGTACGGATCAACGGTCTGGCGTAGCACTGAACATAGATCATAGAACATGGAATATACAACATAAAACGACACGGCGCATTAGAGAGATTGAAGGGAATTCGAAACCGTGGGGAGCGTTTTATATTTAACGGCGGGCGCCTCCTTCGGAGATTGCTCTCAAGTGCGTATGCTCTGCGTTTTCGCCTGGAGAGGAGAAAAGCGGGAGAAAAGGCGGACACATTTCCAGACGATCAACTCTTTAGGCACCTGCTCGCAGCTCGCATTAAAAACGCGTCCGATAAACCGCGTGACCCCATCGAGCAGCTAGAAACTCATCATAATACTCTAGGGGGCACGCGCATTACGGTGATTTCTGCGCATGCCCAATGCCGAGAGCCGGTGTGGACAAACCCAGGCTCGTTTTTAGGCAGGAGGTTTGCAATATGTCAACCCGCACAATTTAAAACCCATTCCATTGGACGCACGTATCGCTTAAAATTGAGCAAACACGATTGTGCATTTAGTAAGACATCTACAATGTGCGAAAACGCGCAAATAGAAAATAAAGTAATCAGACTTTTTAGAGTTGTACAGTCGCATGCCGCCAAAAGAGAAGCCGGAACTTCTCCGCCTTAACCGCATGCATCGATAGTCTTAAGAGTGCGTAGGAAGATGCGTGCGTTTTTACACAATAGCATACACTTAAATGATGGGTCATTCCAACCCTTGATTTTCCTAGATTTGTCCTGCCAACCGCGACATCGCCAGAAGAGAGAGGCACCCCTCAGCGTTGGTAAGTTTTTGTCTGCTGCTTTCTCACATCTGCAGAACCCATTTCTGCTAGTAAACGAGTATGCTGCGTACCTTCAAAAAGAATAAGGATATATGTGCCAAGCATCAAAGTTACAGCTAAATGCTGAGGTTGCCAGCGCATGGTTACCATTTTGAATGGCCCCGAAAGCTTTTTTTTTCATTTAATGAAATAAATGCTTAAATATATATTTTATGTACGTTTGCTAACATACCTGTACCGGTTGAAGCTTAGCTAGTTGGTTCATTACTTTATATAGTGCTAGTTGAACATAAAAGGATTAGAGAGACATAGAAAAGGCATACATACCGTTAGACTAGCAACTGTTTATTAAGATAATCTTTTTCTTCATGGCGGACAAATGAAAGACGAGGAAGGTGTTTGGTTAAAAGACTAGAAGAGGAAGAAGTTCCTCAATTAAATTAAATTCAGTGTAGGTGTAGATGAAAAAAAAAAGGAATATAGATGAAGAAAAATATGATGTTATTAAACAGTTTCTAGTCTCTCTCTCTAATACTTTTTTATGTTCAGCTGGCACTATATATAACATACATGTACCTTGGGAATTTAAGGTCAACCTTGGGAATTTAAGGGCAAACTTGAAAATGCATATTTTTAGAGCGCAGCTGTTAGGGGCCCGTTCCCGCCTTAAAGGTCACGTCCCCCCCCCCCCCCCCCCCGAGGTCACGCACGTCAACCCCTGAGGTCACGCGACCCCCTCAGGTGGTGTGACCCTCCGGAAGTCCCGTGACCCCCTCCCCCGAGGTCACGTGGCCCCCCTGATTCACACGACCCCCCCCCCCCCCCCCCGAGGTCACGCGACCTCAAGGAGTCACCTATCCCTCAGTACCCTTCCATCCTCCTCCTCAAGAGCTGCGCTCTAATCCGGCGTTACAGGGAATTGTACACGGCTTTCATTTTTTTTTCAGATTAATAAGAAAATAAACTGTAAATAAATTTATAAATTTCTACGGACTTAAAATATTTGTATTTCAGCATATTGTTTTGTTTCATGCAAGCTTGAAGAATAGATGCGAAAAAGGTGTTCATTTTTAATTTCTATATTGAGTACAGGTTGTAAAATAATCACCCCCCGCCTCAGACTTCGGGAGAAAACGTAAAATTACAAAAACAGTGAAATTTATTGTCCCCTCAAATGCTCAAAATTAAAAAAAAATTTCCCCAAACATAGTTTTGACTTTTGTTTTTATAAATGAAAATATTTGGGGCGGTAAGTTGGTACTACCTGACACAATCATCATATTTAGAAATGGCTTTTCGCTGGGAAAACTTGGGTATCCTGTCTAGTGTACCCAGATTCTTGCGCGACGTCTTTCGAAAAAGACATTGGTTGTCGCTATGGTCACATAATCACCTACGCGAGCCGAAGGGAGGGAGGTGACTCCCGCGAGGTCGCCCTGCTCTGGTGGAGACACCATTTATACTTTCCTCGATTACAACGGACTTTCGTCTTTCTTTTAGAGCGCAGCTCTTAGGCGCCCGTTTCCGGCTTGAGCGGCGTCGCCGTCGCCGTCGCCGTCGCCGTCGCCGTCGGCGTAACCGCGCGGTGCATTATGGGTAAATTTCCCCGCTAAAGCTAGCGGAAAAAATTTCCCCGCTAAATCTAGCGGAAAAGTTTCCCCGCTAAATCTAGCGGAAAAAATTTCCCCGCTAAATCTAGCGGAAAAAAGTTCCCCACTAAATCTAGCGGAAACAATTTCCCCGCTAAATCTAGCGGAAAAAATTTCCCCGCTAAATCTAGCGGAAAAAATTTCCCCGCTAAATCTAGCGGAAAAATTTCCCCGTCAAATCTAGCGGAAAAAATTTCCCCGCTAAATCTAGCGGAAAAATTTCCCCGCTTTTTAGCAGAAAATTTTCCCGCTAAATCTAGCGGAAAAAATTTCCCCGCTAAATCTATTGGAAAACTTTCCCCGCTAAATCTAGCGGAAAAAATTTCCCCGCTAAATCTAGCGGAAAAAATTTCCCCGCTAAATCTAGCGGAAAACTTTCCCCGCTAAACCTAGCGGAAAAAATTTCCCCGCTAAATCTAGCGGAAAATTTTTGGTCACGTGACCCGGGGGGTCACGTGACCTGGGTAGTCACGTGACACCCCGAGGTCACGTGACCCCCTCCCGAGGTCACGTGACCTCTGAGGGGGCACGTGTTTGCCCCCACGTGACCCCACCAAGGTCACGTGCCCTCGGGGGGGTCACGTGACCCCCCCCCCCCCCCGAGAACACGTGGCCCTCAGTACCGTTCCCTCCTCCTCCTCAAGAGCTGCGCTCCAATTCGGCGTTACAGGGAGTAGTAAACGACTTTCACTTTTTTTCCGTTCACGTTTTGCCCCTGTCCCCCGCAACAAATCAATACAGTACCTTAAAACGTTTTCCGTAGTGATTTAGAAGTACCACCGAGAAACTGCAGCTTTAAATGTTGCTGACGTAAGGCTGAACACCATTTGCAAGTTTTAATACAGTAAATGCGAAGTGGCCTTTGAGGATTCTGACCTTCTTAAAACAGTTTGAGCCCCCAACTATACTCTATCTTGCTAGTTAGGCGCAATACTCCGGAAGCTACGGGCGAGAGAAAAAGGAAATTAATTTTTGCGCGAATTTTGTGCCCGAGGGGCGATATGAGGTTAACAAAAGAGGGTTCTGGTAAGAGGGCATTCCCTTCTGTCTACCTTTTTCAACTGCTGGGGTTACGCTCTCACCCCTGTACCTTTGGCAACGCAGCACGTAGCTAGTGAGATGCAGTGTAAACACCGTCGGAAGCTCTAAACCTGTCCATCTAACCGTACAAGTACCAGGAATAAGCCAGCAAAGCAAGCTCCTGATCAAGCCCGCCTAAAATGTAAAATTTTGGTAATGCCTCTACAGGGTCCAGTCGCTTTCACACATTTTTTACTAAAGTGCGCTTCCTATGATGTATCAAAATCAAAAGACAGAGAAGAGAGACGAGAAGCGAATAAAGACAGGTTGAGAGACGGTCATTCTTTTGTTTTGCTCTCTTAAGTCTGTCAGGTTTAACACAGATGGAAGAAAATTTAATATAAGAACAAAATTAAATGATTGTTTACCTCTTAAAACACTGTGCCTAAAAGTAGACAAAGTGAAAGATGGGGTACAGGGGAGTTGTGTGTCGAGTTAAACACAGTCGCCAGTTGCTACAGTGCGTGGAAAGTGTGGTAGAGAGCAAGTAGTTGTATACAGGATTTTTTTTTCTACTTTAATGGCAAGGCTTACTGCCGGGGGCATTGCTAAATCCGAACGCCTAACGCAGCGCCCCGTGCGGCAAGCACCAGCAAAAATGCCCGCGAGAAGGTAGTAGGCAAAGCCCGCCATGTAACCGACGCCGCAAGCCTGGTGGTGCGGAAAACCACGTGCAGTACGTCGTGGTTTTCCGTAGGCGTACTCCACGTACGCTTACACCTAATGGTGCAAGCGTACGTGCAGTACGCTTACACCATTAGCCGCCCTGTCCAAACTCCGACAAGGCCCCCGCCCCCCTTGTACGACATTGCATTGTTACTGAACATATGAGTATTTGTCAGTCGAGAACCGCATTCCAAAACGAACGGGAATCGAGCATATAGCGTTAATGTTAAATAATTAACGTGTCAAAAAAAAATTAAAAAGAGGGGCGCCATCGCGCCCACCTTTTTGATGGCACTCCGGGTGACGGCCCAGGTCCCCCACGCCTAAGGCAGGCCCTGGTTGCCATCGTTTATCGATCTCTCGACCACGACACTTTGATAGGGCAGGAAGTGAATGTCTGTTCATTGCGGCAGACCGTGACTGGTTGCCGCAGCCAGTAGCTGGAGCTGTTAGGTCTACCGGATTGCGGATGTCGTTTGAAAGGAGAGGCTTTTGATAACGACTCTCGTACCACTGTGCCCTGTTCTCTGGCAGTGCCTGAATGGTCCTACTCGTGGCCGTCTCTTCGACACGCCCACGAGTAGGACTATTTATTTTCAACGCAAAATGTGTATATACGCTCGTTTTCTACGAAACAACCGCCAAGCTCGACCGTTACACGTATGTCAAAGTTTTTGGAGGCATATGGACCCACGGGGGTAATTATTAAGACACGGTCGCAAAACTACTGACAGAAATTGAACTTGGGACCGAGAAATTCTTAGTCAGGTACTATGCCGACTGAGCTAAGCGCATCAGATGCTTGAGAACACTTGCTTTATAAAGACGCTAATTCGCACTCTACTGTGTTGCAAGTTAAGGAAAGCGGGACAAGTTCCTCTCGCAAAGCAATCCACTCCTTTCACTTTAGCGGAGCGAACATAAGAAAAGAGGCGAGTGGGCTAGGCTACTCACTCACCTTCTCTACGGTGTTTTGATTTTGGCCCCCCTCTCGTACTTGACCGCTTCACCAATGCACTCAGTAACGCCGAAGTCTCCCTCAAGTTTACCCCAGTGGTATCGAGATCCTCTTTCAAATTCCTAGATTTAAAAATCACTAGTGACGGTTACAAGTTCCACACCTGTCTACATTATAAACCCACTGACAGCCATAGCTACCTTCTCTGCTCCTCGAACCCTCCTAGGTCCCAAATAAACTCTATTTCCTTCTCACAAATTCTCCGCCTCCGTAGGATTTGCAGCGTCAACATTGATTTCCGTCACCAGGTTGAGACGAGGACTACGTTCTTTATTCAACGTAATTATCCACTCGGCCTTCTGCGCAATGCCACTAGCCGCGTCTCTAACATATCGTGGCATGACACCCTATTTCCCCAACCAAGATCTAAACCTCCGTTCCACCCCCTCCATTTTCACGTTCCATCCCTCCATACCTAGGCTCGGCGAACTAATCATGAACGCCACTTCCCACCTCGTAGACTCCGAAGTTATTTCTAAAGCACCCGTGCTAACTTATCGTCGACAGCTCAACTTCAGATCCCTTCTAGAACGCAGCAACAGTTCCACGAAACCCCAGATTTTGCTTCCCGGTACCTCGCCGTGCGG